TTTAAATATTTTGAATTTATCCAACGCATACATTCTTTCTTTAATTGGATAAATATAGCCAAACCGAGAGTAATAAATGCATGAATGTTATGAATGAATCATAATCATCCACACTTTTCACAGGAAAAGGACCACATATATCTGTGTGAATAATCTGTAGAATTCCTGCGCTTTGTTTGGCATCTTTCTTAATTTTCTTTACATACTTTCCTTTTATGCAATCTCTACATTGTTCTAACTCTGAGATCTCTAATGAAGGAAGAATATTATTCTTAACTAGTCTTTCTATTCTCCCCCTCGAAATATGGCCTAAACGACAGTGCCATAATTTCGACAACGCATCGTGAGCTCTCTTTCGTTTTCTGTTTCCATTGTTCGATGAGGATACATTTTCATTCACATCACATACGGAATTCACATTTTCACGAAGTGATAACAAATAAAGCTCGTCTTGTTGGAAGGCAAGACCAACACATTTATTATTAAACAATATCTGACATTTGCCATTTCCAAAATGGCAATCATAACCATCATGGTCCAATTTTGATACACTAATCAGGTTTCTTTGCAAAGAAGGTACATAAAGAACATCTCTAAGAAAAAGTATAAAGCCATCTGGAAGCTCTAGAGGAAGATCTCCAACGGCATCAACTTCTGCTTGTACTCCATTTGCGACTTTAATGAAACTTTCGCTTCTTTGCAAAGTTCTCATCGAACGGAATCCCTGTAATGAATTAGCAACATGAATAGTTGCACCTGAATCAATCCACCAAGTAGATTTTGAAAACTTTACATACAATGATTCATTTACGAACGTAATAATGTTCTCACCTTTATTCTTCATTATCATCTTTAGGAAATCGGGGAATGATTCTTTTTATAATGTCCCGTCTTCTTGCAAAGATGGAGACCTTTGGTCTTTAGCCACCGGGAATTCTTGATTCTCGAGACTGTTGCATGGGACCTTTTCGGATGACTTGGAGGAAGAGTGTTATAATAGTTCTTTTCTTATCTTTTAGGTAGTTAATGAGAACCACCTTGTGAAACTTTTATTCTTTCCTCCTCCCACACACATGGCTATGAGCTTTTCTAAATCCCATTTTTCAAGTTTGTATGTTGTAATTAACAACAAAGGTGTCAAATTCTTTGGGCAAAGAAGCAAAAATCAAATGAATAAGAAACCCATCCTTGAGTGCCAAATCCATTGGTTTGAGCTTAGATGCCAGATTGCTCATTCTCAAGTATGTGCTCTCTAATGCCACCGCCACCACACGTCAGAGTACCTTTTTTCAGTAACCGGTGCTTGATCAATTTGGGTTGCATATATCTTTGAAGAGCCCGGTGGCTGACTCTTTATTCTATCTAGGTACTCTGTGACCGTGTCACGATCTGGAATTGAGCCCACAATATGAGGCTCAATTGTGTTCTTTATCACCGCCAAACACTTCTTGTTGGCGGTGACCCATTTCTATGCTCAAGGTCATAGGACATCTTTACGGAGCAAAATCCGCTCTCTATTACGCCATGCAACATCGGTCTCATCGGTCTCCCTCACCGGTGCCATAGGTTCTCACTGGGCACGGTGTGGTGACAACCAGATCCACCTCGGCGAGGATGAAGGCCAGTCTATCTTTTTCTTCCACTCATTATAGTTATCACCTTTTAGAGTGGGGATCTCTTTGATACAACTCATTAAGTTGTATCCTCCCAAAAACACAATTCAAATAGTGTGAGAACAGAAATAACAACAATAATTGCATGCCTTAGTTTAACGTTGGTCAAAATTAAAACATACAATTGTTTTATACATTAAATCTACATCACCGTTAAGTAGAAATAGAAATAATGCATAATCATTAAAATTATAATATTGCTATTAACAACGTTGGTCGGGAAAATAACAATATCATAATCATCTCATATTTATCTCTTGGCTCTTAAAATCAAATTCTCCGTTGGTTTGAATTTAATTAAAAGTCCATAATTACTTTAAATACGCAGCGGAAAATTTAAATATGCCCATAATTATTTTTCCAGAAACTCTTAAATATTGCACTGTTCTCTGAACAAAATTGTCGTTGGACAAAAATTGCACAAAGATTTGCATCAACTTCCAATTGAAATTCATCAAAATATATATTTCTGGAAAAATAAAAGAAAAACTTTGAGCTATTTCTATTCATTAGGCCATTTCGGCCCACCCAAAGACACGCCATGACCCACCGCTGCTTGCTTGTATGACCAGCTCTCGGCCTTGTTGCCCGCTGGCCCATTGCGTGCATGACGCTCCCCGTGCCTGAGGCCGCAACCTAGGCTCGGGGTAGAATTCACCCGCGCCCTATCCACTTTGGGTCTGCGGTCTTGGCCGATCATTTCCGTCCGTCCATCCAGATCGGACGGTTGAGCGCACAGCTCGGGGCATCAAAAACCCCGACCGGCCGCGCCTCCCTCAACCCTAGCTCCATTCTATCTTCCCCTTCACTCTCTTCGCGCCGCGCACCAGAGCCACAGCGGAGCCGGCCATGGCGGCCGGAAGGAAAAAGGAAGCACGGCGCCACCGCGGGCCCCCTCGCCGGTGCGCGCGCTCCCCTTTGGGTGAGCGCGCCGCCGTCGAGCGGCCTCGCGTTGGTGCCCTCAGCGCATCCGCCGGCGACCGCGCGTGCGAGGTGCCGAGCGGATCTTGGCTCTGTCCCACGCGCCGTTCGGGAGCGACGCCGCGGTCTCCTTTCCGCGCGGTGGCGATGCCGCCGGCGGTGGGTAAAAGCCCAGGTAGGCTTCCTTTTTAGGGTTAGGGTTTGCTTTTCCGATTTGGAATCGGTTCTTTTCTTTCTCAGTCAGTCACCGAGCGGGCGCCGTATCCCGGCGAGCTATGCCCCCGGCCGGCCTATCTTTTCCCCACGCGCCGGCGTGACTGCAGTGCCACGCAAACGCGAGGTAGGCTACCCTTTTCCCTTTCTTCCCCTTCCTGGATTAGGGTAAGAGTTTGGATAGTTTTCCCCCCGATTTGATTTCTTCTCGGGTAACTTTTCTTTTCTTTTCCCCGAACCCGATCTAGGGTTAGGGTTCGATTTCTTTTAGGGTTAGGGTTCTTTCAGATCCAATCCGAGATCGTGATCTCATTCTTTATCTACCCCTATCTAGATCTACATGCTAGTAGGCTCTGGTACCATTGTTAAAACCCTTTGAATCATCTAGCAGTCGGTCTAGAGGGTAGACAACAAGAGCGGTAGGCAACAGCAACGATGTAGACCTAGAATGCTATCTAGAGGAAGGAGAAGGTGTCGAACCTGAGATCCCAGAGGGAGTGGATCCAGAGGCCTCCATCGACTTCGTCGGTGAAATCGCTCACCAGGCGCGACAGTCGGTGAAGAGAGGCGGCCAGCAGATGGAGACGGTGATGCGGTGCGATGGCGACAGGATGACGGTGATACGATGGCGGCTTCCGTCGTTGGTGTGCACCCTCTTGAGATCGAAATTAGGGTTTTTGTCGGTGGGGTTTGCGGCTCACGGCGAACCTCGTGCTTTGAGCCGCCGGCCCCACCTCTTTATATATAGCCTTGAGGCGACGGGGCCCACCAACCACCATAGGGTTGGGCGCCCCGATCGGGCAGCGTGACCAAGGTCCAATAAGCCGTTGGGCTTATTGGTTTAGAGATCAATCTAACACATGGGGATTCTGAAGGAGATGGGTCTCCACGTTGCCATCAAGAGGGTGTCCAAGGGTTCAAGCGGGGAGAAAGGAGTATGCCTCGGAGGTGAGGATCATCACCGGCTCAGCACCGCAACCTGGTGCAGCTCATCGGTTGGTGCCATGGCGGGCCGAGCTCCTCCCGGTCTCACGAAAGTGATGCCCAACGGTAGCCTCGACGCACCTTTACACCGCCGGCGATGACACAGACACCGCCGCGCCATGGCAGCTCCGGCCTGACGAGATCGTCTTTGGGGCTTGGGTCGCTTCTGCTTGTACCTGCACGAGGAGTGGGAGCGCAGGCGTGGTGCATGGGACATCAAGCCCAAGAACGTCATCCGGACGCGTCCTTCCACGCCAAGCTCGGCGACTTCGGGTGGCGAGGCTTGTCGACCACGGCGGGGCTCGCTGACACGACGGTGCTCGCCGGAACCATTAGGTACATGGACCCGGAGTGCATGATCACCGGCAGAATAACGCCGAAGTCGACGTCTATAGCTCGCGCGTCGTCCCTCCCGAGATCGCTCTTGCGCAAAGCGGCCTCGCTGATGCGTCGCCCGCGGCGAAGAAGACGTGATCCACATCGTGCGATGGGTGTGGGAGTACTGCAGCAGAGGAGCCATCCTCGACGCCGTCGACGCGCGGTTGAACGGTGAGTTCGACGACCGGGAGATGGAAACAGTGATGGCCGTCGGGCTCTGGTGCGCGCACCCTGACCTAAGCCTGAGGCCGTCCATCAGGCAGGCCGTCAACGTGCTGCGGCTGGAGGCGCCGCTGCCAAGCTACCGGCGAGGATGCCGGTGGCGACCTACATGCCACCACCTGATGCTTTCTACTACACATCTTCGGTCACGACAGGCGGCGGCAGCAGCAGCACCAGCACCACTCGGTCAAGGACAACAGAGACAAGTACCCTGCTCAAATGACCACAGATCGGTGCTTCTGCACCCCGACGATTTTGAATGTCTGTAGATATGTACATTTATGTTCATATAAGTATAGTTAGCTCACATATACCAGACACCAACATTGACAGCATTTTTTTTTCTAAAAACTTCATTATTATTATTATTCCACCAAGAGAAGAGACCAAGGGAGCTGTCTTATATAATTCAGTGTATGTGACAATTCTTCTGTTTCAGTATTTACAGTGAAGACCAAATGGCTTCGCTTCCCCCAACCTTACACCCAGGTACCCAACCAACCTCCTCAGTTCACAACTTCACATCGCCTCTCTCCATAGGATCACAGCACGGGGAAAATACAATCAAGAGTCCTCTATGAAGAGCCTGAGACGTCCTCGGTGATGAGACTAAACAGCTGTTGCAACTGGAGTGTCAGGATGGGCGCCCCATTCAGTCCATGATCCGTCATAAATTGCGACGTCGGTTTTGCCAAAACGATGAAGGCCCTAAAACAGAAGCAAAGTATATAGAGGCACAATTAACCATTTGGAATGTAAATAAATATCACGTGATTAAGTCCCCAGTAATCTTACCAAGGCTAATACACATGCTGTCACACCAGTGCCGCAAGAGGTCACAAGAGGTTGATCAAGTGATATTCCTGATAATGAATCACACCAGAGGAATCAAATACCGCCACAGTTATTGCTGATTCTACCTTTAAAACTTGGCTGTTGCAGTTCTACATTAGGTGCCATAAAATGATAAAAATGATCACCAGCATCAACTACCAGTGTACAACATGGATGTTACTCTTTCAACAAATCCAATAGAAAATACAGCCAAATCTAAATCCACCAATATCATCGATGTTAATCATGTTAAATCTATCAAAATGTTAGGAGTCAAGGGCCTATTGGGCCTTAGCCCATTAGAGTTAATTAGTCGCTTGCTTAGGGACCAAGTCAGACCTCTCTATATAATGAGAGGAGATGTATCAATCTAATCAAGCAAGAGATTAGAAGGAAATCCCTTCTCTCTTGCCGGCCGTGGGCGAAGCCCCGCGGCCGGCCTCCCCCAGCGCCCTTGCAGCCCTAGCCGCCGCCGCCGTGAACAGTACCCGCGGACGCTGTAGCTCCACGGTACTGTAGCACGCCCTCTCGTCTCCATCCCAACTGGCCACATAACACAAAACCAGTGAAGTTTCACGTTCCTAGCTAAAGCCTCATTAACTTCTTCATGAATACTAAATTTGACCTAGGTATGGAAAGATTTATAGGAATTTTGGTGGCCAGATTAGCTAAGTGGGGTGTGTCAAAAAATAATCTTACAACTAAAAGTGTATAAAGAAAAAATTTCCTGAACTGGGAGGAAGCATCCAATATAACATGATAAAACCTGGATACTGGATGCTATCATCGAGCACTAATAGGGTACTTGTATGTTGTAACCTATAAGGATGGAATATTACCTTCTTGCTCAAACCGTTTACGGAGCTCATCTGGAGGCAATAGCTTTTGTGAGCTGTCAAGAACCTGAAGAAAGGCAAGTTAAGCAATAATAATAATAATACTTCCAGAGATATAAAAACATCTATGGCAACACTCAGCATGGACAAAAAATCGGATAGTGACATATAAACTTATAGATAGAACATCCAATTCTCCATCCTATTATGGTAAATGAAGTATCACAGTATAAGGACGAATAGCCCTCATTACAAGTGCATTTACCAACAACATAATCTCATAGTACGCCAACATGCTTCTATTATCCCTATCAACCAAAATCTAGTATACCATTAACACAGGTGTACAACTTCAGTTGACAACTAATGTATCTAGTAAACAACATTTAGATTTTAGACCTCATCAAAATGGAAGGACGGATGAAGAAAAATATGGCATTAGAAGTGCAAAGTATCATATGTTGAAAATTGACAACCAACTATGAACTTTATCAGATAAGTATCCATTACCATCCACTGCAAACACGGGAAGAAACATCCAAATGCAAAAATGAACTGATAAAAGTATGGGAAAGTGGAGACTTTCCACCTGGGGAAACGGAACGCATTTGCTCCCAGGCACATGCCCACTTCTAATGCCCTTTCGTGGCTCAGGAACTGTGCCATCAAATCTGAATAGAAGTTTCAAATCAGTTAATCTGAAAATGCAAGACTGTTGAGCATAAGAACAAGTACAAAACTTGGACTACCAAAACATATCTATAAATTACTGTATTATTAGTGTTATTACGAAGTATGTATACTGGTTAAAAGATAATTAAATCTCAAAATGCGACTGGGTGACCAAAACATATCTAAAATATAAGCTGTATTAGTATTTGTAGTGGTTAGAAGATACTAAGTATCAATATCAAAATGCAAAAGCTAAATTGAGTTCTCAGCAAACATAAATGTGACCAATATTATCATCGCTGCGATTATACAAATTATTTTCCTGAATGCAGACCACTTAGGGCCAGTTCACTGACAGCATGCAGTGAGTGGCTGCACGCTAAGGAACTATTTCATTACAGGAACCTTTTACCAATTGTAAGAAATTACTGTTGTGCCTCTCAAAAGGAAAGAGAAGAACATACTTTCAAGCAGTCATGGAACTAGCAAATGCATGTAGCCTTCAGAAAGCATACCTAGGTTTTGATCGAGCATCTATAAGTTGATGTGTCTGGGTCTTGATGTTCTCTTTCACCTGAAAAAATCATCTATTAGTTGCTAAGAAATATGCAGAAAGAATTCGGTGAGTCACGAAGAAAACAACAAGCAGGATGGGACAAGCACTGACCTGATCAAGACTCCAAAGAAGTTGAGGCTGCAGCTTTGCTTCAAATGTGGTTGGACCAACCTTGAGAAACATATTGAGGTTAAACCATCATTACAGCAAATGCTAACCATATCCATCCAAATTTAAGCTCAATAGCAGTAGTAAGTCTCTTGCAGTGCTGTTGCAACTTGCAACGGAAGTATTGCCAAAAGAAACAGGAAATAGAAAATAATAGAATAAATTACCGATTGACCCTGGTACACTTTCTCAATTGCTTCACCAGCCGCACTAGCCTTTAGGATGGCATCACTGGAGGCACTTGATTCAACATCGTACCCAGAAGCACGCCATTGGGGCAAACCTCCATCTAACACCCAAACTTTATCATGTCCAAATACACGGAACATCCTGTTGTCAAGGTAACAAGCATGGCACAACAGTATTAGAAATTATATGTCAAAACAAACAAAGAATTGCACAAAGATCATGGCAAGGGGAACTTAGCAATCATGAATGACCAAATAAGATTTGAATCTACTGCTCATTTGGTTTTCAACCCTAGCAATTTTTTACATACTTTTGTGAAGAAAAGAAGCTTACCACCAAACACGAGCAGCACTGAACAGCCCCTTTCCATCATAAACTACTATCCCATATTTGTTGTAGATGCCAAGAGCAGATACAGCAGCTGAAAATGCCTTTTCAGATGGCAGCATGTGTGGTAACTGAACAAGGAAAAAATATATAACCAACAGATGTCAAATCAAAATGCAGATTCTCACCAAAAAGAAAAAAATCACTAGTTAGATCAGACGATATTAGTATCATCAACAAGCAATAAAAAGAATGCAAGTACTAAGTAGACATGCCATGTTTAGCAAACTAAACTACAGTGAACTGGCATAATTATGATGGCCTTCACAAAGAATGATAAATCTATGTATATACAATATAATATAAGGTGACAAGTCTACGGACTAGGAAGGAAAAAAAGTTATAGACTTCTGTCTTCTTTCTCAGTTTATAAAGAATAGTTCAGATCATTTAAAAAAAAAGAATAGTTCAGATGATATCCAACGCTTTGATCTACGTAAAGTTAGAAGCTGAACCCAGGCAATGTTCAGAGGATTAGTGTAACACCCTAGGTGTTACGAACTTAATAAAGACTTGACCATGTTCATCATCATGCATAACCATTAAGCATTAAGGCATAAATGCATTTCATGTTTCAATTATAGCATGAATATGTTGCTTATGATGTGTTTCATGTGTTCCATGAAATGTTAGCAATAATAGTGATTAAGGTTCTTTATAATTTTATAAACTAATAATTTGTTTAAAAAAATTAAAAATTTTGTTAAAAATAAACTTTGTAGAATAAAGTGTGATTTATAATATAGAAACAAAAATTGATGATGTTTCTAAATTAAACATGTTCAAATTTGAGCTCCAAGTTTGAATTTAGTTTTGAAATTCAGCACTTAACTAAGTTTGGTTAAGTCTTGGAATTCAACTTTGAATTCAATTTTGGGGAATTTATTAAATCAATTTTCACAAATAAAAGTTGGGCAACCTTTGTTTCATTGATTGGTATGAGGTTTGTACTTTGCAACTGTACTATTGGTTGAATTGTTTGACAACTAGTTAATCACCCAATTAATCACCCAAAGTAGATAATTAGCTGTTTTACTAACCCTAACCAAAAATCAGGTTTCAAATTCCACTCTTTAACCGGTTCAAATTAGGGGTTGAGCCTTAAAGCAAAGTTGAAGATCTCGTCTAGCTGAGCAACTTTTGTTTTTGGAGTTTTTCACGTGGTTACGTGAATTTGGGAGATATTGGAAGAAGAGAAGAGGGGCCATTGCTACAGTGCATCACCAGCAGTTGCTTATCTGCCTCGTCACCGCTGTGCGCCATTGCCCATCTTCATGCTGCCTCTCGCACCAGGACGCGCGGATGCCTGCGTGGCCGTGTTCGCGAAGGTGCTGGCGAAGTTGGAGACGTCGCTCTCGCCTTTAAAAGCCTGACGCCAGCGCTCTCTCTCTCTTTTCCATCTCTGCGCCGCCGCCGGCAAAGCTAATGTCGCGGGCGAAATTCATCGCCACCAATTCCCCTTCGTCCAATTCCTCTTGCTCACAGACTCGTCTGCTCCTTGCGCATCCACCCGACTCGCTTGCGCCACCTCTATTCACCGGACTCGCCCACGCGCGCTGCCGCCGTCGCAGTCATGTCGCCATGACCGCCGTGCTCCACCTCACTGTGGCCAGCACGCCTCGCTGCAGTTCTCTCCCTACCAATCCGTGTTTCGAGCTCCTTAGGTTACCGTGATGCTCACCATCCTTTTGGTTTTACCTCTACCGCACAGGAGCCATCGGAACGTTACCTCGTCGCCGGGTTCGCGCCGCCGCACCCGCCCTCAACGACGGTGATGCATCTCCGCCGCGACTCCGCCCCAATCACGTAGCTCAACGTGATCGCAGAGTCCCTGGTGCTGACTGCCGCCTTAGTTTAACCGCTACTGGTCCCTCGTGGCCGGCGTGTCGCCGCCATGGCCGCCATGGTTGGTGCTGTGCTCGCCGCGAAACCCTAGCTGGTAGTTTAGTACCTTGGATCGATGCGCCTTGGTGTGGGGGTCACATTGGTATAGTTAGTTAATTAGATTAGTACCTTGGATCGAAACCCTCTCACTGACACGCGGGTGTGGGGGTCGCCGGCCGGCTCGCCGCCGGTGAGATGCGCCGCTTACCCGCCGGCACGCCGCTGTCAAGGGCGGGGCTGGGTCGGTTTGACCCTGGGCCCCGCGTGTCAGTGAGAGAGGGTAGGAGAGAGGCGGGTGAGAAAAGTTGTTGGCGCCGAAAAATGATTCTCTTTTTCAGAAATGATTAAAAGTGCTGATTTTTGTTATTTTCATAACTAATTATAGAAACATGATAAAATTGTGAAATTTTGTGTGTAGCCTTGTTATGTTATGCTCTACCATGGAAAAAATATGAACTAGTCATTTTCAGTACTTTTGGTATGCTTAAAAATTACCTCTTTTAATTAATAAATGGATCTTGCATGATTTTTATAAGCTAAGATAATTATGCTTTAATCATGAAACTTTATGTGTATGCTTTACATGCTAATACCTGCCTTCACAAAAAGTTGGGTACTGTTTTGATAAATGTAACTTGGTCAATTAATTTAACCATGTTTAAATGTTTTTTCTTGATTAATAAAAATAACAAAATGATTTCTATAAATTCTTAAATGACTTTGATATGATTTTGGGATTGATTGTGGACCTTGGGACACCCAAACCCTGTTGTTCCTTGGCAATGTAATTACTTGTTTGATATGCTTATAATCAACATGCTATATATAATAATTAGAATGCCTTGATTTAATGTTTAGTTTTATAAGTCCTTTATAATAATCATTAGTTAAGATATATGTTAAACCTCTTGCTGTTCTATGTTGAGTTTAAATCCTTTCATGATAACAACTAATTAACTTGATAGTTAATTAACTAAAATACTTTTTAGAACAATTAACCCTAGTTCTTAGCGAAGGAAAGTTGTACTCAAGTTGTGTATCTTGTTGTGTTCATCAATACCCATGTTGCATCCAACATGCATCATGTTTATTGCATTTCATCATGTTAAGCATTGCATCATCTTGTTACGTGTAGTAAACGAGAGTGAGAAGGTTCATGATGGACAAGCTTCGGAGAAGATTCTTCCTCCAGTGATGTTGATGTCAAGTTCGACTTCTATGATCCTTCTACGGAATCTAACCTTCTCTGCGACACAGGCAAGCCCCGGAGCATACAACCCTTTCCTTGTATTTACAAATACTCCCTCCATCCCAAATTGTAAGACGTTTGACTTTTTTGGCCCCAAGTTTGACTACTCGACTTATTCAAAAAATTTGTGCAAATATAGTCAAATTTAAGTCATTCTTGAAGAATTTTTATTAATAAACCAAACCACGACGAAAGAAGTGATATTTTACACAAATTTTTGAATAAGACGAGTGGTCAAACTTGGTGTCAAAAAAGTCAAACGTCTTACAATTTGGGATGAATTGAGTACTTTTATAATTCAAGTCTTATGATATGTGCATTAAGTAAAATAGGAATTGGTTGTATACCTAATTACTGCATGACTTTCCTTGATATTCCAATACTTTTCCTTGTCACCCTTTAGTAGTGATAGGCTAGTGATGCTTAGCCATGCTTAGTGATAAGAGTTAAGTGATGAGTTCATTATTCACAATGGTTCTTTACTCAGGAGACATCCTGAGGATTAAATGATGATAATGTTAAATGGAGACCGGACGGGACATGGGAATTGTCTTTGGTGGTTAAGCCGACAGGGTTGCCTAGTCGTGCTTGTCCCGTCTGTGTCGATTAAGGACCGATCGTTGTAGGGCCGTTTGTGGTCGAGACTTTGCAGTACCGACCACATACTCCGGTAAGCCTAATATCTCGGCTATTCCATCATGTGAAAAGACAACCGCGCACTGGGAGTGGGAGATGGCGAGAGTAGCGTGTACGCACCCTACGGAAACATCTGGGATGACGTAGGGCGGTGGAGTACTATGCTCTCAGGTAGCACGGACCGGTCCATGTTTTGGAGGATCCGAGTGAAGGTTGATATATGGAGGTCTGGGACCTGCATATGTCGTGTGATTGGGAATCCCCAGTTGGGTTTTAATCGATTCGAATCGCCGCTGCTTCTCGAAAAAGAAGACTCGATCAACTGAACTACATCATAGTTAATCAATGAAACATGGTGACTTATGGATATGAGAAGAAAAGAGTTGAGATGTTTAAAGAAGTGATTGATTTAGATCACGTGCAAACTGGATATTGATATGGACTTAATACACCGCTAAAACATTGAAAGGATTCACTCGTAGTAAGCTTTTCTGCAAAAGTTATTTTTGCTTCAGACTATCCCTTTAAGCCTTCATACCCTTGGAGTCTTTTCTTTTAGTCGGGTAAGTCTTGTTGAGTACCCTCAAGTACTCAGGGTTTGTTAACCCCTGTTGCAGGTTCTGACTTGTGCTGCTAATCAAGGTCATGTCGGTGGACTCGACATGATCTGATCGTCTCTATGTAGTTCTACTCAACTTTTGGAACTCAAGTGTTACTTAAAGGTACATAACATGTTTTGTAACCTAATGTTGTAAATCTTCCGCAACTCCGATGTATGACATTTTTGTATCAATGTTGTAATGTTGTGGTAACTCCATTGTTGATCCTGTATGAGTTGTAAAATGTGGATGATTCAGGATCCCCGGGGACACCCAGACTACTGGATTATCTGGCTTTCGTGTACAGCAATCAGAGGTCTTCAAGACAATGACGGGTACACGTGGGCCAGCATAATTTGGGTGGTTCTGCCACAATTAGCAAGCAAGCTCCTATACCATCATTACAGAGAATAGTTCTGATGCCATCCAACACCTGATGTAATCTGAAGTTACAAGCTGAACCAAGGCTATGTTCAGAAGAATTAGCAGGCAACTCCCATACTATAAGCACAACTAACATTTTAGAAGAAATTGATATGGGCCACTAGACAGCTTGATACCATCAAGGTTGTCAAGGAAACTAGCCAGGGCCAGCCAGAGCTGCCCCAAAAGGGACCTAAATATATAGAGTTATAGACAAGAAGAATGGGAAAGGAAACGATTGGTAGCGCATGATCTAACTACAGCAACTAAGTAACACATTGAATGGTTAATTATGGGGCAACTCAAAATGTGGACATGTGGTTACCAGTCTACCAGAACACAACACCTGAGGAAGTTACCACCGAACTGTGTGTGTTCAGATCTGTATGCCCCTGTTTTAATGTTATTGTTTTCAACTTTCACTTTCAGATGTTGACTAGCCTATTGCAGACATGCAACTAATAACTAAGACAGTGGCATTGGATTTGTCACCTCTACAAGTACTATTAATGCACATGGAATGATGTGCAGAGCAGAATATTTCATCTACTAGCAAAAAAGGGGTTGTCACTTGCCCCCTTGTCCTAAAAATCAATTTAGTAGGGTTCTTGTGAAATTCTATTTAGTCTAGTATACTCAGGCAACAACTCAAGTGCTTAACACTCATAAACCTTTTTGTCATTTATATCAAGGACTAGCAATATCAATTGATAACTAGAAGAGAATCAATGATAACAGTAGTGTAACTCAAAATTACATATGGTACATAAACAGAGTTTGTATGATTTTGTAGTCAGCAACAATAAAGGGTACAAACAACAGAGCTGAACTTACACTAGATGTTCTGTCAGATATTCCATCAACATCAAAGAACAAAGCACCAGGAATATGGGCCACCTAGAAACAAGATTGAAGCATTAGAATATCTGCATTATACTTTCAATTATGGACCTATCATTTCCCATAATGGACAGGTTAGGTATGCTTTGCTTAGTATATACTAGGGTTGGTACACCTGTTAATGTATATATCTTAATGTATCAGTTTAGGTATGCTGTATGCCTACTGATAAGCATTCCCATGTAGTGAGTGACACACTGAGGAAATAATTTGAAGTTCAGATGTGCAGGGATTTGATTCACCAAAAAAATAATTAGACCAATAAAAATGTGTACAAAACCATCAGAGAATGCAAGTGCAATGGCATACTAGCATAAGAATCCAGAAATCCTAGCTGCAAAAACAAGCTGAATGGATACCTGGTACTCTTGTAATGGATTCCTTTGTTCTGCAGGCATATACCAAGAGGCATCAAGTACCTAGACAGAAGTAAGGTTAACAAGTAGTGGATTGGAAGAAAGACAATTTTAAAGAACAAGGTGTAACTGGTAAGTAAATCCCGTTGTTGTAGTTAAATTTGCGAATACAGGTTTTATTACTAATCATGGTAAGTCTATACCATAGTGTCAAACAAGCCTAAGTATTCTCAGCAGCACCGATTGTGAAGATCAAATAGTGGGTGAAAGCCCCAGCTTCCCGGTTGAACTGTAGTAGAAGCACATTAACCACATCCAAAATTAAGGTGCCTATTTTCTTCTTAGACAGCATCGGTTCATCTAATGGCAAGACTCCCATAGATTATCAGTCAACTAAGTCTAACCATAGAGCTCATTACTGAATGGCAATCAATATAACTACTAATAATACCTGTGTTTGACTTGTCGAATTGCAGGTTACAAGTTGCACAAGTAATAATTTACAGGCCAAGCGCAGATCGCCACAGTCCAGCACTGACTACTACTAACTACTAACTACTGAGAGCTACAAGAACCTTGACGTCGGGGTCCTTGAGGTTGGCGTGCAGCCACTCGGCCGACACCACGGGCTCCGTCCGGGGTAGCGTGTGGACGCCGGCAGCCTCCGACACCGCGGACGACGACGTGGCGTTGCACCGTGCCGCGATCCCGAACGCGCCCGCCAGCGGCGACGGCCCGCACCGGGACCCACCGGCGCCCTCCGCCGCGCGGACCGCCCACCCGACCCGACCCTGCACGCGCGAGAACCGAGGAACACGTCAGATTGGGGGAGGACCGAGGCGGCGGCGAAGCGGCGGGGTTTTACGACCGCGAGGGGGCGTGGCGGTGGCGAAGAGGAGTAGGAGTAGTAGTAGTAGGGGAGGAAGGGGGGTTTTCCTTGGGGAGGAGGGAGGCCCGAGCGAGGAGGCGGTTCGGCCGGGCCGCGCCGCGCAGCGCCGCAGCGGCGGCGCGGGAGAGGAGGGAGGCCGCCATGGGTGGGTAGGGTTCTGGACGGGGGTTCTAGAAGGTTCGGGAAGGGGGAGTGTGGAGATGGGTGGGGTGGGCGTGGAGAGAAAGAAGGGGATGGGTGGTGGGTTTTGATGTCGAGGGTGGCGATGGTGCTCTGGACAGGTGATTGAAAGGAATGGAATCCTCGTCAATCCGCGGCTCCGGTGGGCAGCCTCCTCCCGGTCCCGGATTTGGAAACCACGGGTCGTAATTACCGACTGAACGTTTGTTCAGATTTTCTCACTTAGATTAGTTGTAACTTAATTACTCGGGTAGTTAATATTTATTTGGAATAAGTTTGTCCGTTTTGAAAATGTAGAATGAAAGCATTAGGTTTGTCCGTTTTGAAAATGTAGAATGGAAGCATTAGGTGTGCTTGTGCATAGTCCCAAATTGTCCAAATTTTGTTCGGCCAATTTTGTGGAGCGATGTTCTCTGCTGGTTTATATTTTAACCATAATAAATAGTTTGTGATTATACAGTACTCCCTTCATCTAGGAAATGCTAGGTTAAACTTCAGTTTGATCAAATTTAGAGAAAAAAAATGAAATATATTTTGATCATATATCCATTTTGTGTTATAAATGTTGATATTCTTTTATAAACTGCCAATTTTTAGATAGCTTAACTAAGGATAGAACAAGAGTTGTTTTCTTTTCAAGACGAGGGTAGCAATTTACGATGCATGTTTTTCAGCTTTTGTGGGATTTACCATCACCTTGCACTTATTGTATGTTTCATCCCTTATTGGCCACAGTGGCTTTCGCCAAAAACTATATCTTCATTGTTAATGGTATACCATGTAGCGTGCTCGTGCGTTGCTACGGGATAGCAAACAATTTATACTAAAAACACACGGATCGCACGATAAGATAACAATACTGTAAAAATTAAATATCAACGTTAAAATTATAGTTAATCCAAAAAGCAAAGTTTGTGAAATAAACATACTCCGTTCTAATCTCCATGACGATGGTTCATACACAAAAGAAATAAATGCAGAAGGAACGGAATATCCAAAGAAGCATGCCTGTGAATGTTTTTTTTTACCTACATGCCTATGAACAGGGCTTTGAGAATAGAGAAGTGACATATATTAGCTTGTCCTAAATGTCATATAATTACAAACAAAAGGTGTACTTGGCTAGAAATATATAGTCAGTTTCTTTCACTAAAGGAAATACCAAGGAAGAATAACCTAGAAATATGCACCAGACTATAACACCCTTTGGTAATATATTGTTTCTAGAAAATAATAGATCATTAGAGTAAAATAGTGAATCGAAGACACGTCGACGAAACAGACATGTCTAGGTCGACCAAAAATGAAGTTTTAAGCCTCTGTCACATTTCAATCCTCTTAGCAGCAGGTCGACCAAAAATGGAGTTTTAAGCCTCTAGCACATTTTAGTCCTCTAGCAGCAGAAAACACACATCAGCAGCAACCTAATTTCCATTACATCTTCATTGAATTATGCTGCACTACAACTTAAGGAAACTCAACCGTAACTACAAAATCAGATTGTATTTAAACCCTATATGTATATCGTAGTCCTAGACACCACGATGAGCTCCTAATTTCTAAGAATGCATCCCAATCCTATTCCCATCTTGGTATTTGGTCACTGCTAGAACAGCGCCCTTCAGATATAAGCTGCTCAAACTTTCTAGCGAGTACAGCTCCATAAGACATAAGAGCTGATGAACTGAATCACATGGCTCAAACTTTTTAGAGCATTCACTACCGGAAACAGTGGCTTGTCGTGTGCCATAGGCACTCAGCAAAGCCAAAAAACACTCGGCAAAGGCTTTGTCGAGTGTAACACCTCAGTTAGTCAGTTTAATGGATGCTACTTTTATTTTAGAGCTGAATTATGTATCAACCATAATCAAACGGGAGCCAGAAAGAAAAATACTAAAACTTCTAATCTTATTATCAGGAATACAACTATTCATTATGCCTTTTACTGTAAAAATTATCACGTGAATAAACATATGCCTTCATTTCTCTCATTTTATGCTTCTCCTTGTGTGGATTTTGGATAAAGATGTTTTAGCGTATATACAAACCAAGTCATGTTGTCGGAATCTGGAGTACTATGGTGAATTGACAGAATTTTACGTTATTTTCACACTATTCATATGCTTCTTATTTTTTTAAAAGAAAATTTTAGATTGGATAAATAATATATATTTGCTAATATACCAGGTTCTGTTGTCCCTTGTCATAGCCGGCATCAACAAGCAGCGTCGTCCAGCAAGACAGAACTGACGAGGATAACCTCTCTTCTGATGAACAACTCGTCGAGTAGGAAATCACTGGAAAAAGGTTAACTAAAAGGAAGTATATTTTTGGGTACTTTGCAGTATTGTTGGTGTCCTTGTTGATTATGATATCAGCCGAAGTTATAAAATTTACGTAAATGTGCGAGGCACGGTTTATTTAATCTAAGGTTATCTCATGCGATTCATTTCAATTTGCTGAGCATGGCTGTGGCTCTCCATGGCTCCAAGGCAACACTGCACCATACCACAAAGAGGATTGTTGAACAATTGCAGGAGTACTCTCAAGACTTAGAAATATGATATCATAGTTTACTTGATTTGATTGCAACGCACAGGTATAATCATTTTTTTCCGGTGCAACACACGTTTAAATCTAAATTATCCCATAGTGTGCGCATGCGTTGCTACGGGATAACTAAATTTTTATACTAAAAATATACGAATCGCACAATAAGATAACAATATTGTGAAATTAATAATCAACCAAATATGCTTCTTGTTTGTTATAAATGGACAGTCGTATGTCTTTTTATCTTGCTTATTATAAACTGGCAACCATGCCTTCCCATATGGTCATCATGGCCTTGACAAACTCCTCTTAGTTAATCTAGCCGTTGCCGAATAGATGCCGTTGTCAAATGGTTAGTGTGCGCATCGGCCGCTTTGGGCACGGCATCCATGGCATGCCCGTCAAAACGGGGCAACGCAAGCGCGCGTGCCACCAACTTTCTTCCACATTGAGGCGGTCTGACACGGGTGAGATGCGGCCACAGTCAAGGTCTATGCCCATGCGTTATAACGGGACAATAATTATGTATGTTGGGGCAATTTTTCTAGATAATGCAATAAAAAGAATCAGTTCAACCATGTAATATGTCTATATGCACCCAAATACAAAAAATACTATTGCCCACTATGAAACTATTTTTTTTGTCACTTTACATTGAGCAAAAGGTTTGCAAGCCAATGCTTGCTTGTAAGTGTTATGATCCATGGAGAGACTAAGCGTGATTTAGAATGGCCCCACTGATCACGCATCTAGCTAGCTATTCCTCCCCTGCATCAAATCAACAGGAACGGGGAAAATAGTTGTTAAAACCGAAATGCAACAGAAAGCCTCCTCTTAAGAAAAACAGGTATTAAATGTTTAACAATCATCATTCTAAACGACCAGTTATCATTTAAAGTTTTCAAAACCATTCGAACCTAACAGGATCAGATGGTTGGAACATCTGGACATGACAGCATTTGTTTTATGAGGTGATAACCTTGGCTCTTTGGAAGCGGTTCAACAACTGCCTTTTGTTCACTACCGAAGCTACACTGCAGATTACAAACATGATCTTGAGTTAAATTAGTACAAGAGTACATGACACAGTGAGATATAACAACAAATAGTTGGGCAGAGGTAATAACTAAGTATATATTCCTAATAGAAGCAAATAGAAAGAATGGAAACTGAAAGGAGGAAGCCAACACCCAAGATTAGTTATATGGTCTCACTGATTAAAAGTACAATCAACTTAAAAACTAACATAATATATTAGGCTTGTTTGACATACTTGAAGAGTGATGTGTCCAAACATTTTTAATACAATAGATACTCTTCTATGTTAAATGAACTTAGCAGTTCTGTGCTGCGATTAATATAGCTCAGAAACAACCCAATGACAAGTTTTTGTGATTGAATGACAAAGTATATTTTATACAAATAATTAAAAGAAAAATTGTCCATGGATCATCATTCTTTGGTATTTAGTAGCTAATTAGAAATATAGCATATTGTCCGTACTAACGCTACGGTGGCATCTAGAAAAAATAAATCATAAAACTAAAAGAAGAAATATTGCCCGTGCTATCGCTATGTAATATTTCGAGCATGCACATGAAAACAAGAAAAAGAAGATATATGTTTCCATAGTTAAGAATAAAATGGGATATTTAATTTCCACAAAAAATAAATGACACGGCGTTGCTATTACAGCACAAACATCAGATTCCAAGGGAGTTTCATATTTCATGAACTGCTACTGCCTGACATGCCTCTCATGACACTGTAGGGCCACCACACAGTTCCAACATGTCTCTATCACAATCGAAAAAAAAAGTCCCTCACCACCCCTAACAAACACAAGATGATTGCAATAACAAATTATTCACAGCAAGTAATAAGGACTACAACTAACTTGGCACCCCATAAACCATAAATAGCTCAAGAGCAAGTAGTCTGGTACTAAGAACTAAAACTCTTGTTATCATTCACAGTTAACACATACTAATACAAAGATATCGGTGCAGAAAGTGACCAACACGTAAATATTTGTAGTTTTGCCATACGTTGTGATCGGATGTGGCCTAACACTCAATGACACAGGGTTTATACTGGTTCAGGCAACGTGCCCTACGTCCAGTTTGAGTCGATCAGTGACTTTATTCCTGAGCCCAGGTGCTCAAAGTTTGCTGTGGGGTTACAAACGGAAAGAGAGAAAGATGGGGGGGTGCAGGCGGCCCGGTTGGACTCCGGACTAGAGGGCCGAGAGTTACAGGAGCTCCGCTATGCGCTAAGTGTTTGAGCGTGTGCTCGAGTGTTTGAACCTAGTAGTTCTGTTGTGTGTGTGAGTGAGCTGATCCATCTCTTTTTGGGAGAAAGCGCGTCCCCTTTTATAGATGAAGGGGATGGCCTTACAAGAGAGAGAGAGAGTACGTATGTTAAATCTTGTTGCCCACGCCATCTGGTACAAGATGATTGTAGGCGCATATATAATCGCATTAATGTTAGATGCATGTGGGAGGTTGCGTCTTCTTCTTTCAGCATAGCAGATGTCGGTGCCTGCTATACTGTTGATGCCTAGAGGCATGTGAAGGGTTTTACCGTGTTCGCCTGGTAAGGTAAATGCCGGCGCCCACAACATTGTTGATGCCCAGAGGCATGGGGGGCCTTACCGTGTTTGTCTGGTATGGGAGTTGATGGCACCTACAACACTGTAGGGCAAATGTCGGCGCCCAGAACACTGCTTGGGCTTTGATATGCTAGGAAGGTTGCAGGGTACCCTTCTGACATTCTCTGTTAGTCTTGTTACTGCTCGCAGTGTCTGAGCACGTTCCTCGGTTTTGCGGTTGACTTGGGTGCCCTGCCTTACTTTCTTCGTCCGTTTCCTGGTCCTCACCGAGCGGGCATCCCCGGTCGGTTGGTCCCAGTCGGCTCTGATTGCGTCAGTCGGAGAGGAGCTGTAAGCAGGGGTTCGACGCATCCCGGTCGGAGAAGCGGGTCGAGTCGAAGTGGTGTTTTGGCCAGCCTTCCGGTCGGATAGGCCATCCGAAGGTGGGCTGGACCGCTGGAGTCGGAAGCGAAGCGCCGCTTTTTTTCTTCCGGTCGGAGGGGCGGGCCGAGTCGGAAGCGGGCGTCGTTCCTCCTCGGCCGGACCTTTCGGTAGGAGATTTGGATCGCCCTTCCGGCTGTCGTTTAGTTTTTTGGGCCGCCGGGAGTTGCGTCGTCGCCATAATGTCGCTTTGTTGGGCCGAGCCTTTCTTTAGGGAAGCTGGTCCATGAGGGACCCGGGTTTATGAACCCGACAAATGGATTCTGAGACCAAGTGGCAAAGATATGTGTTCTATGAAATGGATTAGGAAGATGCACTTTGTTTAACTGAAAACCATTGATTTCCAGGAGCAAGTTCAAATAATGTACAGATAAATCAGCATCCATCGTAGCCAGCCAGCTGCTGCTGTGCTTTTCCTAGTACAAGGGAAATCAATACACGTAGAAGAAGATAAAAAACCTCTCATAACGTCTAAAATGCAGCAATGAGAAGCCACGATGGCAGCAACTCTGGTGAAGGCCAAGAAAATCCTATGAATACAGTCACCACTAAAGGTATACCTTTTGCCGGCTAATCAGATACCACAGTTCACAAATAATTTTCTGAGCTTTGGTGAACAGAGGAAAAGATTTAGCCTTTTAAAAAAGCATAAAAGGATAAAATGTATGAACAATCTGAATAAGGAACCATAGTTTTTTAAGGCTGATGTGCTAGGATACCTTGTGAAAATAAACAATGCAAGCATTCCAGAAGATCATTATTAGTTCATAGGGTGATGTTTCGCAGTGTAACCTGCTAATAAAATCTATCTCTTGCTGGCATGTTGATTTTGTCCAAAAAGATTGAGAAACTTTGAATTGATTAACAAATGCACATTTGATACCTATATATATATATATATGAAGATTACCACCATTTTAGTGGTGAAACCCATAGCCACTTTCGTGTATTTCTTTCTTTTCTTTTCTGCAAGCAAATCCTAGAAAAAAAATGTGGGCTGAATCTATGAAGCCAACACAAAATTGGAAATTATGAATCAAACAGAAATAAATAGACAGAAGAAGCAAACCTGACTACGTCCGTAAGACCCACTTGAGTAATATCAGAGGCTAAAGAAGAGGGAATAAGGTTCTATTGCTCTGGAAAATCTAACAGGCAACACCAACACAGGCAGAAGAGAACCTGCTCGATGTCAGTCACTGAAGAGATAACACCAACACATGTAGATATGTACGACTGAAATATGTTAGAGAATGTAATTTCCATACCTGCATGTATTGGCAGGCAACAAGCCTGCCTTTAGACCTGAGATTGATGTATCTTCATGCGTTTTATTGTCAAATTCCTACAGAACCAGAAACTATAAATTTACACAGGATGTAGGTACAATTTTACCCAGTGGCAATACTCAGTTATGTAACTAAAGTTCATCATGGAGGTATTAAGGACCAGAAACTAAATTTTCTTGTTAATTCTCTCCCTATTGGTTTTGTAATCTGAGGCCCTAATTCTGTTTTGATAAAGATATATGCAGCAGAGATTTGAATAAATGTGTGCCTCTATTCGAGTCTGACTAATAGTGTACCTTTACACTCTATGTCTAAAGTAAGCTTCACAAGTGAATGATCACTGAGAAAGGTATACCTGGAGCTGGATCTTTTGTTACATTTGCAGGTTTGGACAGGGTCCTAGCTTCTAAATTGTTTTTATTCATGAAAACCACCTATGCAAATGAAAGGATTTCATCAGTGAGTCAATGATGACATTGATGATATGCCTTGTTTCCTTTGCACAGCTAATGCCCTTTCATGTAATATTCAAATAATTCAACCTAAATAAATTACTCGTCTAAAAAAACTAAATAAATTACTGTAATTAGTAGCGATATTGGCTGAAATCCCCCAATTCTAAACCAGAAAGACGCCTATATGGCCATATCAATCGAGGAGAAACACAGAAAACGTAGAAACAGCAGGACAGGTGACAAGCGGACCTTTGATATGCAGCTCGAGGTCGTCAAACTCGAATCGATAGCCGGACAGCAGCCTCCGCGCTACGGTGCCGACCTGCGCGTTGCCGTCGCGGTCGGTGCTGGCGCGGAGGACGCCCACGAGATCTTCGGTGTAGGAGAGGAGTCTTTCCACCCCCAGGTTCTTGCCCGCGCCCGCCGCCATCAGATTGGTCTGCGCCGGCACTGACGGGAACCCTATCTCCCTAGTCCCCACCTCTCCCGCCTGCGGGCCCGGTGCCGGTGAAGAGAGACGCGGGTTAGTCTTCGTAGGTTAGGGAGTGGGGATGTACGACCGGCAGCCACGACAACAGATGCCGTTGCTTTGCCGCCGGGAAGGGCAAGGAGGAGGGCGGGCGCGGGTCATGGCTGCAGGGGTAGAGCGGGCGGCTCGCCATGGCAGCGGCCAAACCCTGGAAGAAGAGAGAGGACGCGGGATGGGGAGGTTGCGGGGAGCTGCGCGCACGTCAGGGCCCACATGTCGGCGCGGGGATCGCACAAGGACGGCAGGACGACGACGCGAAACGTTGGAACGTCGCACCAAAAAGTGTTCACACTGTGTTCTTTTTAGTTATAGGAGAATACTATTTTTTTTTCAAAATTCAGTTAAATTTCAAATGTTATAATGCAAATTATTGTGCCATAGGGGCCTCCCCCGTCCTCCCATGATTGCTCATATCACTACATCTCTCTTCACATAGGCACTCAGCAAAGCCAAAAAACACTCGGCAAAGGCTTTGTCGAGTGTAACACCTCAGTTAGTCAGTTTAATGGATGCTACTTTTATTTTAGAGCTGAATTATGTATCAACCATAATCAAACGGGAGCCAGAAAGAAAAATACTAAAACTTCTAATCTTATTATCAGGAATACAACTATTCATTATGCCTTTTACTGTAAAAATTATCACGTGAATAAACATATGCCTTCATTTCTCTCATTTTATGCTTCTCCTTGTGTGGATTTTGGATAAAGATGTTTTAGCGTATATACAAACCAAGTCATGTTGTCGGAATCTGGAGTACTATGGTGAATTGACAGAATTTTACGTTATTTTCACACTATTCATATGCTTCTTATTTTTTTAAAAGAAAATTTTAGATTGGATAAATAATATATATTTGCTAATATACCAGGTTCTGTTGTCCCTTGTCATAGCCGGCATCAACAAGCAGCGTCGTCCAGCAAGACAGAACTGACGAGGATAACCTCTCTTCTGATGAACAACTCGTCGAGTAGGAAATCACTGGAAAAAGGTTAACTAAAAGGAAGTATATTTTTGGGTACTTTGCAGTATTGTTGGTGTCCTTGTTGATTATGATATCAGCCGAAGTTATAAAATTTACGTAAATGTGCGAGGCACGGTTTATTTAATCTAAGGTTATCTGTGCGATTCATTTCAATTTGCTGAGCATGGCTGTGGCTCTCCATGGCTCCAAGGCAACACTGCACCATACCACAAAGAGGATTGTTGAACAATTGCAGGAGTACTCTCAAGACTTAGAAATATGATATCATAGTTTACTTGATTTGATTGCAACGCACAGGTATAATCATTTTTTCCGGTGCAACACACGTTTAAATCTAAATTATCCCATAGTGTGCGCATGCGTTGCTACGGGATAACTAAATTTTTATACTAAAAATATACGAATCGCACAATAAGATAACAATATTGTGAAATTAATAATCAACCAAATATGCTTCTTGTTTGTTATAAATGGACAGTCGTATGTCTTTTTATCTTGCTTATTATAAACTGGCAACCATGCCTTCCCATATGGTCATCATGGCCTTGACAAACTCCTCTTAGTTAATCTAGCCGTTGCCGAATAGATGCCGTTGTCAAATGGTTAGTGTGCGCATCGGCCGCTTTGGGCACGGCATCCATGGCATGCCCGTCAAAACGGGGCAACGCAAGCGCGCGTGCCACCAACTTTCTTCCACATTGAGGCGGTCTGACACGGGTGAGATGCGGCCACAGTCAAGGTCTATGCCCATGCGTTATAACGGGACAATAATTATGTATGTTGGGGCAATTTTTCTAGATAATGCAATAAAAAGAATCAGTTCAACCATGTAATATGTCTATATGCACCCAAATACAAAAAATACTATTGCCCACTATGAAACTATTTTTTTTGTCACTTTACATTGAGCAAAAGGTTTGCAAGCCAATGCTTGTTTGTAAGTGTTATGATCCATGGAGAGACTAAGCGTGATTTAGAATGGCCCCACTGATCACGCATCTAGCTAGCTATTCCTCCCCTGCATCAAATCAACAGGAACGGGGAAAATAGTTGTTAAAACCGAAATGCAACAGAAAGCCTCCTCTTAAGAAAAACAGGTATTAAATGTTTAACAATCATCATTCTAAACGACCAGTTATCATTTAAAGTTTTCAAAACCATTCGAACCTAACAGGATCAGATGGTTGGAACATCTGGACATGACAGCATTTGTTTTATGAGGTGATAACCTTGGCTCTTTGGAAGCGGTTCAACAACTGCCTTTTGTTCACTACCAGTAAGCTACACTGCAGATTACAAACATGATCTTGAGTTAAATTAGTACAAGAGTACATGACACAGTGAGATATAACAACAAATAGTTGGGCAGAGGTAATAACTAAGTATATATTCCTAATAGAAGCAAATAGAAAGAATGGAAACTGAAAGGAGGAAGCCAACACCCAAGATTAGTTATATGGTCTCACTGATTAAAAGTACAATCAACTTAAAAACTAACATAATATATTAGGCTTGTTTGACATACTTGAAGAGTGATGTGTCCAAACATTTTTAATACAATAGATACTCTTCTATGTTAAATGAACTTAGCAGTTCTGTGCCAGTTAATATAGCTCGAAACAACCCAATGACAAGTTTTTGTGATTGGACGGCAAAGTATATTTTATACAAATAATTAAAAGAAAAATTGTCCATGGATCATCATTCTTTGGTATTTAGTAGCTAATTAGAAATATAGCATATTGTCCGTACTAACGCTACGGTGGCATCTAGAAAAAATAAATCATAAAACTAAAAGAAGAAATATTGCCCGTGCTATCGCTATGTAATATTTCGAGCATGCACATGAAAACAAGAAAAAGAAGATATATGTTTCCATAGTTAAGAATAAAATGGGATATTTAATTTCCACAAAAAATAAATGACACGGCGTTGCTATTACAGCACAAACATCAGATTCCAAGGGAGTTTCATATTTCATGAACTGCTACTGCCTGACATGCCTCTCATGACACTGTAGGGCCACCACACAGTTCCAACATGTCTCTATCACAATCGAAAAAAAAAGTCCCTCACCACCCCTAACAAACACAAGATGATTGCAATAACAAATTATTCACAGCAAGTAATAAGGACTACAACTAACTTGGCACCCCATAAACCATAAATAGCTCAAGAGCAAGTAGTCTGGTACTAAGAACTAAAACTCTTGTTATCATTCACAGTTAACACATACTAATACAAAGATATCGGTGCAGAAAGTGACCAACACGTAAATATTTGTAGTTTTGCCATACGTTGTGATCGGATGTGGCCTAACACTCAATGACACAGGGTTTATACTGGTTCAGGCAACGTGCCCTACGTCCAGTTTGAGTCGATCAGTGACTTTATTCCTGAGCCCAGGTGCTCAAAGTTTGCTGTGGGGTTACAAACGGAAAGAGAGAAAGATGGGGGGGTGCAGGCGGCCCGGTTGGACTCCGGACTAGAGGGCCGAGAGTTACAGGAGCTCCGCTATGCGCTAAGTGTTTGAGCGTGTGCTCGAGTGTTTGAACCTAGTAGTTCTGTTGTGTGTGTGAGTGAGCTGATCCATCTCTTTTTGGGAGAAAGCGCGTCCCCTTTTATAGATGAAGGGGATGGCCTTACAAGAGAGAGAGAGAGTACGTATGTTAAATCTTGTTGCCCACGCCATCTGGTACAAGATGATTGTAGGCGCACATAACACTGTTAATGTTAGATGCATGTGGGAGGTTGCGTCTTCTTCTTTCAGCATAGCAGATGTCGGTGCCTGCTATACTGTTGATGCCTAGAGGCATGTGAAGGGTTTTACCGTGTTCGCCTGGTAAGGTAAATGCCGGCGCCCACAACATTGTTGATGCCCAGAGGCATGGGGGGCCTTACCGTGTTTGTCTGGTATGGGAGTTGATGGCACCTACAACACTGTAGGGCAAATGTCGGCGCCCAGAACACTGCTTGGGCTTTGATATGCTAGGAAGGTTGCAGGGTACCCTTCTGACATTCTCTGTTGGTACTGTTCTGCAGGTGTACAGAGTACGTTCCTCGGTTTTGCGGTTGACTTGGGTGCCCTGCCTTACTTTCTTCGTCCGTTTCCTGGTCCTCACCGAGCGGGCATCCCCGGTCGGTTGGTCCCAGTCGGCTCTGATTGCGTCAGTCGGAGAGGAGCTGTAAGCAGGGGTTCGACGCATCCCCGGTCGGAGAAGCGGGTCAGAGTCAGAAGTGGTGTTTTGGCCAGGCCTTCCGGTCGGATAGGCCATCCGAAGGTGGGCTGGACCGCTGGAGTCGGAAGCGAGCGCTGTTTTTCTTCCGGTCGGAGGGGCGGGCCGGAGTCGGAAGCGGGCGTCGTTCCTCCTCGGCCAGACCTTTCGGTAGGAGATTTGGATCGTCCTTCTGGCCTGTCGTTTAGGTTTTTTGGGCCGGCCCAGGAGTTGCGCGTCGCTCGCAATGTCGCCTGTTGGGCCGAGCCTTTGCTGGGAAGCTGGTCCATGAGGGACCCCGGGTTTATGAACCCGACAAATGGATTCTGAGACCAAGTGGCAAAGATATGTGTTCTATGAAATGGATTAGGAAGATGCACTTTGTTTAACTGAAAACCATTGATTTCCAGGAGCAAGTTCAAATAATGTACAGATAAATCAGCATCCATCGTAGCCAGCCAGCTGCTGCTGTGCTTTTCCTAGTACAAGGGAAATCAATACACGTAGAAGAAGATAAAAAACCTCTCATAACGTCTAAAATGCAGCAATGAGAAGCCACGATGGCAGCAACTCTGGTGAAGGCCAAGAAAATCCTATGAATACAGTCACCACTAAAGGTATACCTTTTGCCGGCTAATCAGATACCACAGTTCACAAATAATTTTCTGAGCTTTGGTGAACAGAGGAAAAGATTTAGCCTTTTAAAAAAGCATAAAAGGATAAAATGTATGAACAATCTGAATAAGGAACCATAGTTTTTTAAGGCTGATGTGCTAGGATACCTTGTGAAAATAAACAATGCAAGCATTCCAGAAGATCATTATTAGTTCATAGGGTGATGTTTCGCAGTGTAACCTGCTAATAAAATCTATCTCTTGCTGGCATGTTGATTTTGTCCAAAAGATTGAGAAACTTTGAATTGATTAACAAATGCACATTTGATACCTATATATATATATATATGAAGATTACCACCATTTTAGTGGTCAAACCCATAGCCACTTTCGTGTATTTCTTTCTTTTCTTTTCTGCAAGCAATTCCCAGAAAAAAAATGTGGGCTGAATCTATGAAGCCAACACAAAAATGGAAATTATGAATCAAATAGAAATAAATAGACAGAAGAAGCAAACCTGACTACGTCCGTAAGACCCACTTGAGTAATATCAGAGGCTAAAGAAGAGGGAATAAGATTCTATTGCTCTGGAAAATCTAACAGGCAACACCAACACAGGCAGAAGAGAACCCGCTCGATGTCAGTCACTGAAGAGATAACACCAACACATGTAGATATGTACGACTGAAATATGTTTGAGAATGTAATTTCCATACCTGCAAGTATTGGCAGGCAACAAGCCTGCCTTTAGACTTGAGATTGATGTATCTTCATGCGTTTTATTGTCAAGTTCCTACAGAACCAGAAACTATAAATTTACACAGGATGTAGGTACAATTTTACCCAGTGGCAATACTCAATTATGTAACTAAAGTTCATCATGGAGGTATTAAGGACCAGAAACTATAAATTTTCTTGTTAATTCTCTCCCTATTGGTTTTGTAATCTGAGGCCCTAATTCTGTTTTGATAAAGATATATGCAGCAGAGATTTGAATAAATGTGTGCCTCTATCCGAGTCCGACTAATAGTGTACCTTTACACTCTATGTCTAAAGTAAGCTTCACAGGTGAATGATCACTGAGAAAGGTATACCTGGAGCTGGATCTTTTGTTACATTTGCAGGTTTGGACAGGGTCCTAGCTTCTAAATTGTTTTTATTCATGAAAACCACCTATGCAAATGAAAGGATTTCATCAGTGAGTCAATAATGACATTGATGATATGCCTTGTTTCCTTTGCACAGCTAATGCCCTTTCATGTAATATTCAAATAATTCAACCTAAATAAATTACTCATTTAAAAAAACTAAATAAATTACTGTAATTAGTAGCGATATTGGCTGAAATCCCCCAAATCTAAACCAGAAAGACGCCTATATGGCCATATCAATCGAGGAGAAACACTGAAAACGTAGAAACAGCTGGACAGGTGACAAGCGGACCTTTGATATGCAGCTCGAGGTCGTCAAACTCGGATCGATAGCCGGACAGCAGCCTCCGAACTACGGCGCCAACCTGTGCATTGCCATCGCGGTCGGCGCTGGCGCGGAGGACGCCCACAAGATCTTCGATGTAGGAGAGGAGTCTTTCCACCCCCAGGCTCTCGCCCGCGCCCGCCGCCATCAGACTGGTCTGCGCCGGCACCGACGGGAACCCTAGCTCCCTAGTCCCCACCTCTCGCCTGCGGGCCCGGTGCCGGTGAAGAGAGACGCGGGTCAGTCTCGTAGGTTAGGGAGTGGGGATGTACGACCGACGGCCATGACAACGGATGCCGTTGCTTTGCCGCCAGGAAGGGCAAGGAGGAGGGCGGGTGCGGGTCGTGGCTGCGGGGGTAGAGCGGGCGGCTCACCATGGCGGCGGCCAAACCCTGGAAGAAGAGAGAGGACGCGGGATGGGGAGGTTGCGGGGAGCTGCGCGCACGTCAGGGCCCACATGTCGGCGCGGGGATCGCACAAGGACGGCAGGACGACGACGCGAAACGTTGGAACGTCGCACCAAAAAGTGTTCACACTGTGTTCTTTTTAGTTATAGGAGAATACTATTTTTTTTTCAAAATTCAGTTAAATTTCAAATGTTATAATGCAAATTATTGTGCCATAGGGGCCTCCCCCGTCCTCCCATGATTGCTCATATCACTACATCTCTCTTCACATCATATCACTAAAAAAATTATCATCAATGACAAACCTATTTAACAAAGTATTCCCTCCGTCTAATAATATAGGTACTCATTGGTTTGTCCTAAGTCAGACATAAAAACAGACATAAAAAAGTTTAACTTAGAACAACTCTAGAGTAGATCGAAGCAAAAATTGTGCTCCGGTAATGACCAACCATTTCAGGAATAAAGAATGCATTCCAGTTTTTTAGGGGAGAAAAAGCACACTATTGTGTAAATTTTATACGAGATAACTTTATTGACCTCTCTGTTGTCATCAAGATTACCACAAATTCATAGTCGTCTTGTTGGAGAAAAAAGAAAACATAGTCATAACTGATCATCAGACACGATATTCTTCCATAGTTCACACTCGGCACCAGTGCGGAACCGAGAGCAAAGAAGTCATCCACCATTTACCAGTCACGCTAAGATTTATTACGACCAGCCTTCTCCTCAATACCAGACTGAGGAAATCTCTTCCTCAGGACCTCAAGGACTTCCTCCATCTTTACATCCTTGACTCTGAGCAGCACCATAGCTTGGTACAGCAGATCAGCCATCTCCGAAGCAGCACGAGATTGGTCCTCGTTCTCGAGCAGTGTTTGAATTAGTTCACCAGCTTCTTCACTGAATTATATGCAAAAATAACAGAACTGACATTAAGAGAAATATATTGCCATTCTCGTTAAGAGAAAGTAGGGAGGAGAACAAACATGGCAGTAACAAAAGAAAAGGTATGAAATGTGCCTCAGTCAGGTAAATGGACTCTCACAGACATTTATTGATGCCAAGTCATAGACTCAATACACAACCATCAATAAACAAATCCTGACACTAAGACAAATGAATTTATCTGTTTTGGTCTCCTGTACCAATCAAATCTTGTTGCACCAAATTAACCCATCAATTCTTCAGTCAAATGCAGTGCTATGAAAGCATAAATAAACACAACTGAGGCATTAAGCTAATTCAACATGAATATATTTTAAAATGCAGAACTTGGTGAACTAGACTAAGAAAAAGGGAGAAAAGACTCAATGCTTTAATACCTGTTCTCTTTCCCATTAAAATTAACAGTTTTCATAATAATACAGTACCGTGATGGCTCAGAAAAAACATAACATCACATACCGTATTTTCGAGCAAAGTAGCTGGTTATCAAGCAGTAGTTTTTTGGTCCATGATGGCTTGCCACCTCCTTCAGTAACTATCTCCTCCTGTCTTCTACTAATTGTATCTTCAAGTGAGTATAGGGTTGTCACAACCTGCCTGCCTTCATTGGGCTGTGAACGGAAATCACATATTACTTTTAATCATGAGTCAAAGTCTATTGCAGGAAAGGGTAACTTGAGGATGTGTACCTTTGAACTTTGTAGAGCATCATAAACTGAAGTATAGTAACAGGTTTCTGCTCCTGTATGGCACGAGGTCCATCTGGCTTTCAATGTATATTATCTAAGTTGTATGAAAATACAAAACATCTACACAGTTAATACGCTCTGAAGTTGAAGTGAAAGTATTTACTCACAACACAAAACATGCTTACAGAATCACGGTCACAATCAAGGAAAATGTCATGGACATTAATGAAGTTCATGGATGTCTCCCCTTTTGTCCACAGGGAAGACCGTGAGCGGCTAAAGAATGTAGCTTTCCTGGTTGATATAGTTTTTGCAAGGGCTTCTTTGTTAGCAAAACCCTGCATAAGTATGGCTCCAGTATCCACATTCTGTGCAATAGCAACAGCCAACCCTTTGCTATCCCACTTCACACTGTCTAGTAACATGTCAACCTGATTTTTTTTTATCCAGCACAATAATGAACATGTTAGGCTTTATTGATTTAATGATAGTTTAAACTCAGTATTAGGGAAACCATAAAAAATAGACATTCTCTTTCCATTCAAAACTGATGCAAAATTGTAACAGAGCTACTGCAAAGTCTCAAATGGCTGTAGTTCTTAATGCATTTTACTCAGTGAAAGAATAAAGATAAATGCTGCCCATCTGCCACCGCAGCTCCAGCCCCACCTCCCCTGTTCGCTTGAACTTATCAGCCATGGTACAGTGTTTTTCTCTCACAACAAATCAGTCAATAGTACTTTTTAGCCTGGCTTTTCAGCGAAACGAACAGGGCAACTTGCTCGAACAGTACTTTTTAGCCTGGCTTCGCGGCGGAGGCAACCCTACATGCAACCACCACCCTAGAGTTATCTTCCTTGATTTGTTCTCTAGAACATACAGTATATTAATATATAATTGGCATATTAGTCCTGGTATATATAGGATGACTAGGACCGACCAGGGTCACCCTGGTCAACTACTAATTGCGACTAGTCACCTGGTGTGGAGACTATGACTGACTAGACAATTTGATACCCTGTTCCAAAATAAACCAACTTCTGGCGAAGTACCTAGACAAGAGGGGGTAACATTGACGGTGCATCAAGAAAGTTGGCTGCAAGCAATGCACTAACACCATAATTTCTTCAAACACCATTATGGCATGCCATCCTATTTAGCATAACAGAGCAATCTACCTAGATCGAGAGGCAACAAGAAATGTATTTCCTGCGAGTCTCCTTGAGGCCTTGTTTGGATGTCTTATTTACCTCAATCCACATGTGTTGGTGTGGATTAGAATGGAATTTAGTTCAAGTTTCACTCTAATCCAACCCAATACATGTGGATTGAGGTGAATACGATGACATCCAAACGGCCTGAGTGGACTAAATAAAACCTTGCACAACACTAGTGGTGGATCCTCATCCAGGGCTTGTAGTTGTAGCCATCATGTGGAAGTGTGGTACTCCAATCCCCCAACTATTTTGGTTCCGAGGTAATAAGAGAGGCAGATTTCGCGAGAAGAAAAGAAGAAACTCCAAACCTTGGGGTCGACGGCTACAGCTCCCGGCGCAGACTGCGCGGAGCCCGCCTCCACGGAGACTGCCGGGTACGGTTCCCTGCGCCTCCATCCAGGGGCCCAAGCAGCGACGGAGCGAAGATTGGGGCAGGATGTCCCGCTGGAGAAGATTCCCGCGCGGCACGCCGAGGAAGAGGAGGACGCGGGCGAATGAGTTGGTGCCGCCGCCGGAGCCGCCGCCATCGGAACCCCGAGTGTGCGGTGTAATGGAATTCAGAATAAAGCACGAGTACGACAAACTGCTTGCCTGCTAGTTGCTAGTACGTACAAAGCCTGTGCAGCTGTACTTGTGCCGTTGTTCGCCCTGCGCCTGCCGTGTGCTGTGGCTGCAGCAGCACAGGAGATCAGGAGCGGGTACGGACGGCTGGCCGGCTGGCGGCGCCGTCCGCACGACCGCACGCCCCGGCAACCCCTCGATCTGGCGTCGCGCTTCCCCTCTCCCCGTGTGGCGATGTGGCTGCGCCTGCACCGCCGCTCGATTTGGCCGGAGGCCGGCGCTAGAGTCCGATTCGGCCGGCGCTATGCCGGATTCGGCTAGCGGTAGCGGCGGGTTCGATTTGGCCGACGCTGTGTGGGAGAGGAGAGCGGCGACACACGCGGTCACCAGCAGGTGCAGGTTTGCTCTGCGCTGGGGCGTCGGGAATTGGTTGCCCGGCCACATGGATTGAGCCTTCAAATTTGGATGGCTTAGGCCCATATCCGCAACATGGGTTGGGCCTTCAAATTTGGATGGCCCGCCTTTCAGCTTTTGTCGGATTTCATCGGCATCTCCCACTTAGCTTATTGCGTGTTTCATTTCTTATCGGTCACGATGGCGTTGCCAGAAACTCGACTGTGAAGGGCCCAATTGTACTATTCTTTTTCAAAATTAAATAAAATATCAAATTTTATAATGCAACTTTGGTTCAACGGCACACCTCCCTCCGCGCATGATATGATTGCCACTACTATATCTTCTCTTCACATCACAGTACTAAAAATTATCATCAACGACAAAATACTTAAAACTAATGGCCCCGTTCGTTTCGCTTAAATTTGGCTCACTGCTGATGCTGATTTGCTGTGAGAGGAAAATACTGTTTCTTCGCTGAAAAGTACTGCTGAAGTAGTGCTGAAAAACAGTGCGAATAAGGTCCCATTTAACGCAACTTCTTCAGTACTTTCAGCAATCTGTCTGGGTCTACTTTTTTCGAAATAGGTTAAAACAAATTCGCTCCTCAACTAGAGCTGAAAATATCCCTCTCCCAGATCTACTAGGAGAAGTTGTTTCACCGAATATTTTTTCAACACAGCTTCTGCTCCTCCACCAGTGGAGTTACTCATGGTGCGAAAAAAACTACCTAATAGATAAAGCAGACATGTATAAAACAGGGCCTAAACCTGCAGTGAAGTATTCCCTCCACCCATACTATATGTATTTATAGGTTTCTCCGAAGTCAAAACTATGTTCCGTTTCACTAAATTTATAGGAGAAAATATAGACATATAGAAAACCAAATTAATATTATTAAATCAGATGGTAAATAAATTTTATAATATACTTAACTGTGTGTCATAATAATTACTTTTTGTAGACTTTCAAACTAACCTAGTTAGATTAACTTTTATGACGGATGTATGTATGTAGTAGGAAAATTGTGAATCCCGCGAATTGGAGTATTATTAATTCCTGCTTTGTTTGCTTTTTGTTTTTGTTTTTTGCAAAGTTATATAGGGTGGAATTGCTATTTATATTTATATTATATAGGTTTTTTTATCTTAACTTCTTTCGGGGGCAATTATCTGTGTTGGGATTAGTGGTTTCTTTGTTCAGATGTAACTGGATCGGCATCGGGCCTCTGCTGAAAATTGATGAAGGTGGCAGCTTAGACGCAAATTGTGTCAGCTGTAACTCTGCATGCTGGCTTGCAACTCTGCATTGACTGAAACATCTTCCAATCACCATGGGATTTCATGGCCATTTCAATAACTGAAGCATTTTTGAGTCAAAGCTTAATTTGGCACTGTCATCATGGTCTTCTGATCTTGATGAAACATACGTAACAAACACATATACACCCAGCTCCCTTTTCAAACTGCTGATTCTTGACTTGATGCGTCCTGTTGAACAAATGTTCAGTAAGTTGCAAATTAACAACTTCAGTAGCTCGGCTGTGAACTGTAGAAACAACGGTTATCAGAGCCGAACAAGTCCTACGCAAATGATCTGAAACCTAACTCATCATACAACCATTTCATCAACTCGACAAGGCCGACGGCTGCGTTGTGCCAACGCCATCACCGCCGCTCACGGTCGTCGCCGGTTCCATAGACGACGTTGTGGAGGCAGGACGATCGGCCGGCGGTCCGTAGGTAGCAACTGGCATCTTCGCGGGGAGGGTCGGCGGCGGCCCCTCGAACCGCAGCACGTTGACGGCCTGCCTGACGGTGGGACGCAGTCCGCGGTCCGGGTGCGCGCACCAGAGCCCGACGAGCATCGCGCACGCCATCTCCCGGCCGTCGAACTGGCCCCGGAGCCGCGCGTCGGTCGCGTCGAGGATGGTCCCGCCGCCGTACGAGTCCCAGACCCACTGCACCAGGTGGACGAAGTACTCCTCGTCCCCCACGCGCACGGCCGGCCGACGGCCGCAGGCGATCTCGAGGAGTAGGACCCCGAAGCTGTACACGTCCGACTCGACGGTCGCCCTCCCGGTCAGCATGCACTCCGGGTCCATGTACCCCATCGTGCCGGCGACGCCCGTCGTGTGCGACCGCCGGTCGTCGTCGATGAGCCGGGCGAGCCCGAAGTCGCCGAGCTTGGCGGTGAACGACGCGTCCAGCATGACGTTCCTCGGCTTGACGTCCCGGTGCACCACCCGCCGCTCGGCGTCCTGGTGCAGGTACAGCAGAGCTTCGCCGACGCCGAGCGCGATGCGGTACCTGACCGGCCACGTCAGCAGCTGGCTCTGGCTGTCCGGTCCGTGGAGGTGACGGTCGAGGCTACCGTTGGGCATCAGCTCGTAGACGATGAGCAGCTCGTCGTCGCCGCCGTGGCACCAGCCGATGAGCTGCACCAGGTTCCGGTGCCGGAGACGGCTGATGATCCTCACCTCGGAGACGAACTCCTTCCAGCCTTGCCGAGAGGTCTCCGACACCCTCTTCACGGCCACTTCGCGGTCAGAGTCGGTCAACAGCCCACGGTACACGGAGCCGAAGCCGCCTCTCCCGAGTCTCCGGTCGTCGGAGAAGTTTCCAGTGGCTGCGGCGAGCTCGTCGTAGCAGAATCGTCGGGCCCGGTCACCACCCCTCGAGGTCGTCTTCCACCTGCTTTCCGCGGAAAAATCTTTTGTCTTCTACTAGTGCTTGCTTGACAGTCTTTCTC